TATTAATATTTTAAATGCGATTGTGAGTATGGATGGATAAAAGGTTTAGTGTTTGTTACTATTTTACGCAAAAACTACTGAACGGATTTAGATGTAACTTCACAATAATATAACTTATAACTTCTTCAGAATAATATATAGGCTATAAATTTAAACCGCCGACGTAACTAAATTTAATATATTTTCATTCAATTTCAGTCCTATTAGACAATGAAATTAAACAATAAGAGGCATGATATCTTAATTCACAAGAAAGGTGACGCATGAATGTTTGTGTCCCATGATAACGTGATGTCGGTAGTATTTGGTTATCACTTTTTAGCAATTCCAAAAACATAATGATATTAAAACATCTTTCGTTTGAAGCCGTGATTTATTTTAGTCCTATTAGATGATATAAGACATGATATCCTAATTCTCTAGAAAGGCAACGCATGTATGTTTGTCTCATGATAACATGATGTCCGTAGTACTTGTTTACAGCTTTTTAGCAATTCCAAATCATTAAAAAATGAGTTACATATTGAAATATCTTTATACACATGTTGTTATAATAAAAATGGACTTAAATATACAGTGTACTGTACAACATAACGTTAATAATCCATTTTATGGAATAATGAATGAATAAATTATAGGATCTAACAAAAAAACTATAGTTTCCGCCAGATGTCACCAATTGTTTATATATCCACAACTAAAGCCGACTCAGGGTTGCCAACATAAAAATATTTAGCCTCATACGAAGAAGTGTAAAAGATGTCTCGGACGATACAAACATTTGTATTCATGAGTATGATTGTTTGTATAGGTTTGGATGTTTTCTATTTACATTATTAATGAATTTTCAAAATAAAATATATATTGAAATATTTATAGTACTCGTAACACAAGCTCTGCGTAGCTTGGTATGACACTGCGAACTGTCCTGAGATATTAGACTATTATATTAATTTGGACTAATTATGGTCGAATTTCGACCACTACACCGACCACTTATTGCGATACATTTGAGTAGGTTAATTTTTCGTACAAACTTGTATGAGGTTTTAAATATCCTCTTAGCGAATATTAAAACCTCGTACTACTACGGGTATCCTCGTGCAATTGGATATCCGTCCGATCGATCCCCCCGTCCAATTCAAACAGGGATCGAAATTACGAAAGCCTGAGGTGAGGTTCGAACCCCTAGCGATGCCCTCAGACTAAAGTCGTATCCGTCAGGCGGGAGTTGGCCTACAGCCGCTCCATAAATCCTTGCGGGTTTGGAGTGCCATCTGCACTCGCCCCCTATCGTCCGGTGAAGCAGCCAAAAAAAAGCAAAAAAAGCAAAAAAAAAGAGCGATTGGCATCCCTGACGCGGCTGGATAGTTTGATCTTTATTAACTAGAGCTGCGCACGCGCACATGATTCTGTTTTCATTACATTACAGACTAGGGGAGGCGGCACTGCGTTGTTTTTATATCATTTTGAGTATTTACGGCAATGTTTATTTGAGGGATGGTATAATAAAACGTAGCACATCTGATGTACCTACTTTTGCTGTTGAATTTACTGAACTGTTCTTTTAGTTTTATGGAAATTAAGGAAATAGGTTTTATTTTTTATGTATTAAATTTATTTGCAATATTAATTTAAATATATACGGTTTGTGGTTATGTGGTTTTTAATTTTAATATGTTAAAATACGTATGACTAATGTTTTAAAAACTTCCATATTAGTTACTGTTTGCCTTACATTTATGAACATATTTATAATATATATTTATGAATAAAAGTTACGTGTGACGTTGTTTGTCCGCGATGGACTCTTAAACTATTGAACCGATTGCAAATTTGATTTGCACATAGTGTGCGATTTGAACCAACTTGAAAGATAGGATAGCTTACATCTCAATTTATAGTCACAATATTATTTTATTCAAGAACCTTAGCCACAGCAACGCGTGGTAGGGTCTGCTAGTATATACGATTATATAAAATATCCCTGCCCCACAGCGCCATCTAGTCCCAAGCTAAGCAGAGCTCGTGTTATATGAAATATGAATACAAATGTTTATACCGGGCGAGGAATCCAACCCGCGACCATCGGAATTAAAGCGGTCTGCTAAACCACTAGACCACCGAGGCTGTCAATAGCCCAAATAACCCAATAAAAAAAATAGGCCACAGCGTATTTGCACCTTACTAAGTTTGTCCAATCGGTCCAGATTCTGCTAGTAGACCGTCAATAGAATATTGACTTTACTTTTACTTTACTAATTAGGACTATTCGAGTTCATAGCCCCTTTAATCCTGAGTTTAGTATTGTGTTGTACTTTCTAAACAAAAATGTATAATATTTTTCCAATTTACATGTATCGTATATGAAAATTGGAAAAAGATTACACAATTTCGGGGATGAGAGATTATTAATGTACAAAGGCCATTTTGCTATCATTGTACCAAATAGGTCGACCTGCACGCGGTACTCCCTTAATAACATTGTAGTTACTTCCTGGTGGATTCGTCGGCTAATTTATTCTTCAATAGCTTAATCATACCATATCACCATACTACAATGTGTCATTACAGTTGCTAGGGAACAATGTTAATTTTATATATCATTGTATATATATTTTATTTCCTCTAATTTGTCTAATACGGTCTTTTATTATAATACACTTAGCATTGAAATAATCTATACATCTATACATATAAATAAAATTGGAGTGTCTGTTTGTAATATTGAAATATCCGTTTTTTACTATATGAATATAAATACGGTACATACACAAACGGTCTGTGTGTTCCGGCTAATCTGTGAAATGGCTGGACCGATTTTGACGGGGCTTTTTTGGCAGGTAGCTGATGTAATAAGGAGTAACTTAGGCTACTTTTATTTGAAAAAATGAAGTTAAATTCCACGCGAACAAAGTCGTGTAATAGCTAGTATAATATATAACAACCCACAGAGTAAACAATAGTAGCAATAAACTCATAAGTAATTTCTGTAAACCATAATATTAATCGCTCATTTTGAGCCCATACTTTCTACTAATATTATAATTGCGAAAGTTTGTGTGTATAGATTTTTGTTTCGCTTTGACGGAAAAACTATTGAACCGATTTTGATGAAACTTTACAGTAATATAGCTAATTCATCAGATTAACACATAGGCTATAATTTAAAAAGATATTACGTAAATTGGGTAAAATAAAATGATAATAATGTGATCTATATTGGACTTTTTTAAACAAAAATGATATAGCTTCCATGTCAGCTTTGACAACCCTGTCACCTCTATACATATTTATGAGCCGACTACACGCAACCCTATTCTGGGAGTAAGTGATTCTGACACGAGCTACGGTTATGGAGTTACGAGTCAACAGTACAACATACAACGTGTACACCCAATTTCAAGTTCATTATACACGTGAATTATTTACGGAATGCTATTTTGGTTTTTTTTTTATGTTGTGCTTCTAAGTAATACGACGGTTCATAATAATATCGGATGTTTAGTTTTTGTATATGCCGCTCGTAAATTATTTAATATTTGTATTATAAATACCTTTAAATGTATATGAATTCAGATAATAAAAAAATAAACTAATAACATCTCGGGACAATTCATACAGCGCCATCTAGTCCCAAGGTAAGCAGAGCTTGTGTTATGGGTAACTAGACAACTGTTATATATACATGTATACTATACACAAACAGATTTTTATTTAGTTTTTAAATATTTGAATTATGTTAGGTATTTGCAGTCGAATATGTTATTATATCACTATATAGTATATAGCTATGTAAATAATACAGTGATATTTAATGGCAATAACTTGTAATCATAATATTTAGAGACTACTTACTGTATTCCATAAGTTATAATTTACATACCTGCAATGTCAAGAATAATATCTAAATATATATAAATTAAAAGTGACTCACATAGTGATCTATCAACGCACAGCCCAAACCACTGGACGGATCGAACTGAAATTTTACATGCAGGTCGATGTTATGAAGGATGTTGATCAATTCTACTCCCAAGGGGATAAAATAGGAGATGAAAGTTTATGTGAAACTTTGTCACTTTTAAACCGATAGGCTGAGACTTTGCACGCATAAAGCTACTATGACGTAGGCATCCCCTAAGAAAGGATTTTGGTAAATTCCACCCACCCACCCATTCTAAATTAACGCGAGCGAAGCCGCGTGCAAAAACTAGTTAACAAATATAATATAATAATGACCAAATACAATTCACACAGCGCCATCTAGTCCCAAGGTAAGCAGAGTTTGCGTTATGGGTACTAGACAACTGATATATACACAGATATTCTTTTACAATTACATACCTAATATACATAGAAAACATCCAGACCGATACAAACAATTATTACTCATGAATACAAATGTTTGTGCCGCGAGTAATCGAACTGGTGATAAATGCAAGTAAGAAGGTGTGCGTAAACCGCTAGACCACCGAAGGTGTCAATACGACCTATAGTTTAACTTTGTGGGGTAAAAAAAATATAATAAATAATAGAGGCTATTATTTATTATATTTTTTTTACTTATGCACGTTGTTGCGCTACATTATTATACCAGCTACTCGCCCCGGCTTCGCACGGGTGTATAAATCATCCCTTTGAAACACTCTATCTATTTAAAAAAAATCGTTGCGTAGTTCTAAAGATTTAAGCATACATAGGGACGGACAGACAGCGACAGCGACTTTGTTTTATACTATGTATTGATATATATTTATAAGACAACGTTTAGTAAAAAATATGTCTTGTTACTTTCTTTTTCCTTCCAAATTATCTTTTTATTCCCAAGTATTTCTACATTTATATCTTTTAATACACTGCCTGTTCCTCTATTATCTTTTCACGACTTTACGGCTGTTAAGATGCATTGCATCCTGAGTATGGACATAGAATATTTTATCAAACAAACGAAGTAGCAGAAACTGCAAGTAATTTATATAAACATTTGTTTGTTACAGGCATGCGCTCCTCGCTTCGTTTCATACGTCTCGCACAAATTGAATCAACGTGATCCGGTCGGCACGTGCTTCATCTCCAAAACACTGGATGCTGACCGTGTAGAAGAGATCTCCCCGTGTCGGACGAGTAAGTTGTTCATTATTAAATTACGATAATACTAACACATACCTGCGACTTCACACCTGTGAACCTGATTGATTTGGTCAAAAGATAGCCTATGTTTTCCATTCAAAATACTGCTACATTTCATGATTTCTGATCAAGCTTTTAATGTGAAAGTGTAGCAAACAAAGTTAACTTTATAATATAAAATATCATAATCAAAATATCTTTATTCATGTTGGTATATTACAGACTCTTATAATTTAGTATTACACATAGTTTTTAGTTATTTATTTTTATATACAATAAATATAAAATGAGCCTTGGGTAGGACCAATAGTCTTATTAAAACAATCGTAAAACAAATAAAACAAAATATTATTAACTATATATATAGTTTAAAGAAAAGGTAGATAATTATTATCAATTTAATTAACTTATATTTCATAATTAGTTATAAAAAAAAAACACAAAAAATCGTAAAACTCTTCTTAATACCTTAAATTGTTCTTACATACAATTATTCTTCTTTCATTCTTAGATATATTCATTACCGTACTAATTACTTTTGCTACATTAAAATTGTATAGTCAAAATCTTAGATTAAATTTTAATAATACAAGATCGTGATTGCCTTGTCATATCCGTTATTTGCAGTATGTCCTCTTCTTCTACTGATCTCTATCGACCGTCTTATCTGAGCTTACTCTCTTTTTATACATCTTTCGTTGTCTATCGTATATATATATATATGGTCTTTCACACAACCCTTTTTTACAGTCATCTTTTTCATCATCCTTGTCCATGTTAAAAACTTTCTTTAAGACCTGGTCCTCGCTAGATCTAGCTGGTAGATTAAAATTACAAGTCAACATTTAAAACCTATTTTCTTAGCATAAAATGTAAACCATAAATCACAAATTCAGCCCTGTAATGTTAAGCTCAAAAGGCTACTTTAGCGAACCGAAACGATAGCTGACGTCATTTCCTCCGGTAATGGCGGCGCAAAATAATCGTGACTTGACAAGCTGTAATACAGAATATCTGTAATATAGATAATAAAGTTATTATTATTAACTATATTACAGATATTCTGTTCCCGTACATTTAACATAGCGTCTACTAGTATTAAGATAAGCGGAGCTTGTGTTATGGATATTTTTTCTCATCTTTTTAATTGTGATAATTAATGGTGCACCCGCCTCCGCTAACGGTTTACGCTGGCGGGGCACCAGTGGAGGATGATAAAATGAGTATGACATCAGGTCAGTTAGTCCATCATGACAAATTCACAGGGGATTTAACATGATGGTTTCTAGGGGAAACCGCGTGGAGGTCAACCTGTCGTGGTACATTGCTAGCAATATAGATTTTAGTTCACATTACTAATAATCCCCCTGCCCCTAATGTGTTATGGGTATTAGACAATTGACACTAATATTTAAGTATATTTTTTGCAACTAACCTTATACAACTTAACATACATAGAAAACACCCAGTCTAATACAAACAATGTTTGTACCGTGCGAGGAATCTAATCTACGACCATCGAAGGTAAGGCCATCATTTTTATGAAATTCAAATAAATTCATTATATATTTTATTTTTATGATAAAAATATTAATTTTCAATGTTTGTGTCGGTCTGAGTGTTTTCTATGTACCTGTATTATGTATGTATTTATAAAAAAAAGTAAGTAAGTATCTATGTACATATATCAGTTGTCTAGTAACTATAACACAAGCTCTGCTTAGCTTGGGACTAGATGGCGCTGTGTGAATTGTCCTGAGATATTATTGATATAAAATTGTCGTATAAAATCATTAGGAGTCCGTTTTAGATTTACTTCTTTACACAGATAAATAATTAATAGCAGGATATATAGTTGGTATTAATTTAATAGAAGTATTTATAATTATATTATATATAGATGTATGTATATACTCGACCCTCAAAATCTATTTTACCTTAATATTTATCTAATGTTTTTAATAATAGGTAGATATATGTACCTGCTCGACTTCCAAAAGTTGTACCTACCCGTTTTATCTACTGATCTACTACTACTCTGATGCAGTTATCCGCAGCTGGCCTTTACAGCTTCACCGGATGATAGGAGAAGAGAGCAGATGGCAATCCGTGGAAGGACTTATGGATCGGCTGAAAGCCAACTCTCGCCTGGCAACAATACAACTGTAATCTGAGGGTACCGCCAGGGTTCGTACTCGGCTCAGGCCGACGTAGTTTCGATCCCCGCTTGAATTGGACGGGGTATCGAGGGTAGGGGTAGGGGGTTGTTCCCGTGTGTAATTTAGGATGTACACAATTATTTATATATTACACTTTGTCTAGGTCACAGAATCGTGGACGAAGGTGAGTTTTGTGTATAACAAGATCGTATCTTGATGTTACATGGATTAACGCACTGTATTCAATAAATCACGTGACACTTTCTTATTAATTTATGAGCGAAACTTTTTTTTCACTTTCTATTATTGAATATTATTGTAATATATTATACACACTTAATAATATAGTTTATTTTTCACATTCTTTTTTTAAATATTTTTATATTATATTATACAGATTTAAGAATGTCGTTTATTTTTGTCACATTCTATTTTTAAATATTTGTATAATATATTATACACTTTTAAAAATGTAGTTTATTTTTTTCACATTCTATTTTTAAATATTTTTTTAATACCTTAGGTATACACATTTTAGAATGTGGTTTATTTTTTTATAGCGATTGCATGACTTGCAATAAATAATAGTGATTCCACCCTTCTCTTTGTGTATTATTGTGTGTTCGTATTTAAGACCCTTCCAAATTCTTATGCGAACAGCTACAGAATGGTATACTCTACTAAAGTCATATTTAAAAGGGTCTTTCAAGGTTGGGATGAATAGGCACTATTTGAGTTTTCTTATATACTATACATTAGGTGAGACTGTTCATGTTGATGTTCATCAAATATATGTAAAATAAGTTGTGAGTGGAGCTAAAGGAACACATAATTATTTAAGAAAAAGAAAATGAAATATTGATATAAAAATTATATTACATATGTCTTCATGTCGATAACATCAAAATTGACATAAAAAGTGTATTGTAATATTATAAACATTATAAAAATAATGATGGACAAGCTACCAGTGACAGAAATAATATTTAGTACTTACTACTTTAGAAATTTCGTCCATGCAGTTAATGTTCAGTTTGATAATTTGTAATAGTGTAATTAGATAAGCGATCCTATATATTTATACAGCGTAGATTTACCAAGAACACTGTCCTGAACAATATTCTATTGTTTATTTATATTATTATAAAGCTCTTCTAATTCTTTATTCTTTTAGTCTGTCTGCACTTTCACAGAATCAATTTAGTTATTATTAAAAAACAACAAGAAGTACTTTGCGATTAACACCTAAAATGACCTCTTATAATTTACAGTAATATACAAAATATTACTGTAAATTATGATCAATGTGATTGATAGTAATTTAAAGTACTAATTTTAGACTTAATATACACATGTCAATATACTTTACACTTGATAGTTCTACAGTAAATATAGTATATGAAATGTATTATTTTAAAGTAACCAATATATGCGCTACATTTTTATTGGTTATATTATTTACATATATATCAATTAAATAATTTAATTTTTTAGATAGATAATATTATATCCAGGTTGCCTGTAAGAGATTGCTTTGAGCGATAAGGCAGCCTTTTGTGAAGTTACTGAAATTACTATATAATAGTGTAATTATTGATAAAGAAATTAAATAAATCACATAAAATCCGCGAATATTTGAAGTAATAATATATATTTTATTTATTTTTATTTATTTATTAAGTTAATTCGGATGTGTGTGATATTCTGTTAGTAAACAACTTATTAACTATGTAAATATAGTAAATTACAATTTATATTCATTTATATAATACTGATATGGTAAACAAGATTTAAATTTGTCAGTTCGTTATACTTATTCACAAAGCACTTAACGTTTTAGATCGTTAAAAATATTTGTGCCCCTGATTTTTAGATCTGCAACTATACATGTACAAATTTATATATTTTTAGTTTCAATTTTTATACTCTACATACCTAATTATTTAATATTTAATCATTTCTGTCTATAGCTGTATTCTTTTAATTATAGTTATATTTATTTAATTATGGACATATTAATAACATCGTATAGTGTTAACTTATGTGACTTAATCTACTGAATATATAATAAGAAACAGCTTTGTTAGTCTTAATATAATTATTAGTTACTTAATTTAATTATTTCTAATGTATTACATACATTAAATTTAATTACGTAATTGTGATAGAGTTACTATCTCACTGCAGAATGGGCTAACTTAAGCTGCTACTTATTGGATTAATTTTAATGTTAATTTATCTAATTTTTTTTATTAATATTTCAGCCAGTCACGGTCAACGTAAATCGGGCGTATGCCAAGCAGGTTTTTCAGCTGGAGTTGCCAAGGTAATTTTAATTTATTTTATTGAATATTAGTTATAACGTAGCATTCAAATTGTATATGATTACAAGCTGTGGTCTTGTTACATGCGTCCTCGCGTATGTCTCTGGGCAGTGCCTGAATATCAGTGGTTTGCTGCTTGTATGCTTCGAACAATACACTGAGGTGCTGCCTTTTTACGTATGGGCTGTGCACACTACGTTACTCATACCGTTTTTTGTTATCTGTATTGCATTTTATTTTATCTGTATGTTGTGTATTGTATTTTGTTTGACTTCACTAATGTAATGTGTATATCTGTTTTTATTTTTGTTCTTATTATTATAGTGCCTTGTGTGTGTGTGTGCCTTTAACGTGAATATTCTTTTTATCTGTCTATCTATACTAGAAATAACAACAATAACAGTAATATATTGAATAAAATTTCTCGGTATCATTTTCTAAATTCATTCGCAATTGTAAACAACGACATAAATTGAACTGCGACCCCTTTAATCTGACGTAATATAAACATTACACATATAAAAAAACAGTGGAGAGCATCATGTAAAACGTGGTTCCACGGTCGTGGGAATGGCATTATTTTTGCCATGTTGAATTGCCATCGTGATCGGAGGCGCGCGCGCACGTGACGGGACTGCGCGCGCAGTCCTCTCCTTATGAATTATTAAACATTTTATTGTTCCCAATGCAAAAAACAAACAAAGATGGCGGATGATTCCTATTTTGAAAATAGTACGCTTTATTGAGAATGCATTTTATTGCTGCTTTATTATGCCCACGCTGTATTTGGGAGACAATTGGTTTTCTTGTGCAGTGACAGTTTCACTCTGAATGATTGTAGAAACATATTCCTCTTATTGTTTTAAATGACATATAAGTATATTGCAACAATGAAAAACACGCGGCAATTTTGCACATGAATGATTTAGTTTTGTATTACTATTTATCGTATCTACTTAACTTACTAACTTGGCAACACTATAAAGAGTACCTATAGGTGACAATAAAGATTTTAATATTCTTAATGGTGTTTGTGGATTAATTTGACATATTGCATTACTCGAATCGAATCGAACGGATGGTTGTAAGTTCGATTCCCGCGCAATACAATAATTTCATAAGGACTGAGTTTTTAATTGAATTAGGATATTAAGCATGAATACATACATCATCATCATCTGAGCCCGGAAGACGTCCACTGCTGAACAAAGGCCTCCCCCAAAAATCTCCACGACTATCGGTCCTGCGAATATATGTAATATACATTCCATATATATAAAACTGATTTAAATATATGTATTTCTATCGCAAGTTTAGAACCCAAAAATCTGATTAATTTGATACCAACTAGATAGCATTCCCTAACATTACCATTAGTATATTATTAGTTATTTATTTATTCAATCTGTCTCTCTATTAAAGGTGTTTCCATTAATAGAGAGTAGATATATATAACTGAAGATAGGCAAACGAACTTAAAAAAAAAACATAAATTTTATGACAGTGTTTGCATATATATACTACATACTCAAACACGCAAAATATTCTAAAGTAAAACTCACCATATCATCCGAACAATGCCGTAGTTCACAGTAATAGATTTGCTTATCGTGATCCCCACGAGCACATTTTTAACCCTTAATCAAACTATTAAAATTCTACCCGCACACGCTCGGGGTCTAACCGACCCCAGTGTTTTTTTTTAAATTTATTTATTACCGTTATCTCGACTAGAACAATACAGATGACACAACATATTGTGTTTGCCATATATCATTGGACTAGCTAACCCACGACTTCAACCCGTATATTTTTATATGTAAACACTAGCTGTCCCGCCAAACGTAATTTTGCCTTAAAATAAAAAAAAAAATTAGGGATGGACTACCCCTAACATTTAGGGGGATGAAAAATAGATGTTGGCCGATTCTCAGACCTACTCAATACGCTCACAAAATTTCATGAGAATCGGTCAAGCCGTTTCGGAGGAGTATGGGAACGAAAACTGTGACACGAGAATTTTATATATAAGATAAAACAAACATTACCGTCGTCAGTGCAGGGACCACATAGACAAGATCAATATATTAGTTTTAAAATGTTATTTCATATGTATGTTAGTCCATAAGGTATTTATGTAAATAATAATAATATTATAAACGCGAAAGTTTGTGCGTATGGATGTTTGTTACTCTTTCACGCAAAAACTACTTAACGGATTTTACTTATACACTTAGCGCATCAGAATAATATATAGCCTATATTATTATTGAAATTTATCACGGGCGAAACAGTGGGCTCAGCTAGTATGTAATAATAATATCTCAGGAGAATCCACACAGCGCCGTTTAGTCCCAAGCAGAGCATATGTTATAAGTACTAGACAACAGATTTTTGTAAATTAATACATTATGGGGAAAAGATTTGTTAGCATGTGGACTAACTACTCCATTGCTAGCAATATACCATGTCAGGCACCTCATGCGGTTTCCCCTGGAAACGAACTTATTACATTACTTGCGAATTTGCCTAATGGGTTAACTAATCTGACCTTATGCTCATCTTATCATCCTTCACTGGTGCCCGCTAGCGTAAACCGATAACGCGGGCGGGTGTAATTCCATTATCATAAATAAAAAAAAAACAATAATATCTACTCATGAATACAAATGTTTGCATCGAACCTGCGACTATTGCAAAGCAGTATGCTAATCCGCTACACCATCGAGTCCGTCAGTAGAATCCAACTGTAGTGGGTGTAGAAAAAAACATAACATCAAAAGTATGATATTTATTTGCAATGTTCATGTTCGCTTTGTTTGTTCTGGAAATAAATATTAAAATGTGTTTTGCATCCTGTGTGTCTGTTTAGTTATTAATATTCCCGACATACTTATATATATTTGACTAGCTGACTCGCGCGGCTTCGTCTGCATCACGCTTACTTGACTTCATCATTATATTTCGCACTATTTACCTAACACATTTTTAAATCATAGCCTATGTGTTATGCTTATATATAAGCTACATTACTCTAAAATTTCATTAAAATCTGTTCAGTAGTTATTTCGTGAAAGAGTAACAAACATCCATCTATACTGACACAAAAGAAATAGTCAATATTTTTGAAAATTTTTTCGCTAATATTCCAACTGATATTACTCCACCTAGTACAGCTAAATCATTCCTTATTGACAATGTTGTTTCTTGTCCGGTTACATTTACATTTATTGACATTGCTACAATTACTAAAACATTTAAACAATTAAATTTAAAAAATACTGAAGACCATTGGGGCATGTCTGTTAAAGTTATTAACACCGCTATAGATGTTATTGCTCCATATTTAGTAATTATTTTCAATAAATGTATTTCTGATGGTGTTTTTCCCAATTTAATGAAACATAGCAAAATAACTCCACTCTTTAAGTCAGGAGAAAAAACTGTGGTAGGTAATTACAGGCCTATATCTATCTTACCAGTATTGAGTAAAGTGTTTGAAAAAATTATGCTCAATCAAATGCTGCAACACTTTAAAGTAAATAAACTGCTTCACAGTCGACAATTTGGTTTCACGGCCGGTAAATCAACTACTGATGCTGGTGTAGTTCTCATTAAATATATATTTGATTCTTGGGAGAGGTCTCAGGTGCAGTGCAGTCGGTGTATTTTGTGATCTTTCAAACGATTGCGTTGAACATGAAACACTTTTGCTCAAACTTGAACATTACGGTATTAGATATGAAGCACAAAGCATGATGAAATCCTATCTAAATAATAGAATGCAAGTTGTCGAAATAAATGGTGTAAAGTCTGAGGGAACTAGTATTAAAATGGGTGTTCCTCAGGGCTCTATTTTAGGTCCTTTCTTATTTTTAGTTTACATAAATGATCTTCCTTATATGGTAGAAAAGATAGCTGACATAGTTCTGTTTGCTGATGATACTTCATTAGTATTCAAAGTCAATCGACATATTGATGATTTGGACGAAGTAAACGGTGCTCTTTCTTATGTTTTAAAATGGTTTACGGCTAATAATATGTTACTAAATGCAAATAAAACTAAATGTATCAAATTTACTCTCCCCAATGTAAGGCCGGTAGATTCAAAAATCACGTTGGACAATAAACCTATTAATTTTGTGGATGATACTGTATTTCTAGGTATCACATTAGATTCCAAGTTGCAATGGGGCGCTCATATTACTAAATTAGCGAGTCGACTTAGTTCCGCCGCTTATGCGGTGAGAAGAATTAAACAATTAACAGACGTGGCAACGGCTAAACTTGTGTTTTTAGCTATTTCCATAGCATGTGTGGTATTTTGTTATGGGGCAAAGCAGCTGATGTAAACACAATATTTATTTTACAAAAGAGGGCCATTCGCTCCATTTATAGCATGGGTTCCATATATAGAGTGCTTTAAGGAATCAAATATCCTCACCGTTGCTTCTCAATATATTTATGAAAATATCATGTATGCCAGGAAGAATATAGACAGTTTCAAAAGAGTTAGTGATTGCACTAATAAAAGCTTACGTAACAATAACAAACTGATTTTACCTAAATGTCGTTTGGCTAAAGTTAGTAATTCGTTTTATGGCAATTGCGTAAGGTTTTACAATAAAATACAGAGTCTGTTATAAATCTGCCAGAAAAAAGATTTAAATGTCAAATAAAACAGTTCCTTTGCAAAAAAGCTTACTATAAAATTGAAGAATTCGTTAACGATAATAATGTTTTTGTAGAAAAATTTTAAATACATAGCACTGACAATATTATCTGATTACACTAATAATGAGTGCGTAGCGATTTCTATGTTGATTGTCGCATGCCTCTTACTTGTTACACTGTAATTATTTATATATAAAAAAAAAAAACATCTATTAAAAAGAGCAACACACAAGTTTCTTGCTCATTCTTCTTGTGATGAGTCTGCATTCCGAATGAGTGGTAGAATCAAAATATGACTATTCAAAAGTGCTTGTAATGAGTTTATTTG